TGAGGCTTGCCTTGTCAATATCAGGATAGAGGCATCGGTGTCCAATTAAATACATGTATGTGCTATGTGCCTGTACAATCAAACCCTCTTACCCAAAATAGAACGTAAAATCAGAATTTCCATGTAATGTTTATCTCTAATTTCTTTGTAGATTTATAACACACTTTGGCACCCCCAATGAGTTACTTAATAATAAAGATCTTAAAATGACGCAAAAAGCATATGCATATACCTCTATTCCCAGTGGTGTAAACTCTGTTTGCTGATGTAGTCAGCATGTGGTGCAGTGTATCAGAAAATGAGAATGGTCCTTGTATAATTAGAACACAGGCAGCATTGGAAACCATTTTCATGGGTTTTTAACAGCTTGTAAAACAGGTATACCTGACCTAACCATTAGTTGCTTCTGTAAGCATCGCAAGAGGCTTTATGTAAAATGGTATTTCACGTTTCAAATGCTCTGTCAATGGTGAGAAAGAGGTTGAATATTATTTTTTCTTATGCCATCTGTCTCCTCTCTAAACATGAAACTATTGAATGAAGTTAATTAGATGGAAAACAAATTGTGGCATCAAGGTATTGCTCCACCGTCTGTGAACAGGGTCCTGGAGGAATGAATAATCCCAGGAAGAGAGAAGAAAATAGTATTTTCACGTGCCACCAGTTCACCAAGCAGGTGCATTATTTTACTCAGATACATTAAATTCTAACAACAAAACAGTAAGGTGGATATTTTAAATTTCCATTTCACCAACCAAGTCTCTGCTTCCTCCTAAAAAAATTCCTAACTAGGACAACAATATGCTCAAGTTTAAAAGACATTGCAAATATACTTCCCAGTCTCCCATGCAGCTGGGGGTGAGGTGGGAGGGGTCGTTAATGGGCAGTGTTCTGGCCCATGAAATGTCAACAGGAATCTCTGGGTGTGGCCTTCATAAAAGCTCTTTTACAGGGGCTGACTTAGCTGGCACATGCCCTGTCCCTCTCCCTGCTCACCCTCTTCCCATCTGGCCAGTCTTGATAGCTGAAGTCCTTGCAGCCACCTTGTGAGAATGCAAATCAAACACACCCCTTGCAAGGGAAAATAGAAAGGAAAGACAGCGGCCCGAGACCGCGTATCTCCAGACTTCTTTTTCATGAGTAAAAGTAAGTATGATTTCTGACACAGCGAGCAAAATATCTAAGGGAATTATCTAGGAAACAAGTCTGGTAAGAAAAAAATGATGTACAATTTAGGTCCAACTTGTACTTGTCCATGACATTTGTCGTTGCTGTGGAAACGACACATTTTCTGGGGAGTTGAGGAAATGCCACTATTATTGTAAAACAAACACAAAAGAATTGCTTTTGGCCTGGAAATCCCTCTGAGACGCTGGTGGCTGAGTGACCTTGATAAAAGCATTGACCAGGGCTGCTGTCTGCTGCCCTTTTTCTTCTTACTTGCCTCCAACAGAATATGTTCTGTGTTTTATTGGGACTTGCACTAGGGCAAATGGCTTAAAATCCACAGAGATTTGGGTAAAGCCAGCATAGTATGACTTGGACAAAAAAGAAAACTCTGCTAATATTGTCTCAGATCCTCCTCTCCCCCGTGAAGACCAAACTGCATCAATTTAGAACATTTGAGGGGACTTTAAGCACACACCAAGGAACCTGGATCCTTACTTTAAATATTTGTATTTTGTTATGTCTGAGTTGGCCAGGACATATGCAAAGGAGATTCTCTGGTCCACTCCTATTTAACTGATGAGGCACGAGATTCGACTCAGTTAAAAATATTCTACTAGTCCTATCCATGACGAGCCTGGATTTCTCTGTTCTGAAGGTTCTGCAAGGCATGCACAAAGTCCTGGGGTTTTTAAGGTAAGCTTTGCCTGTGAATTTGTAGAAACCACACCTATGCCTATAAGGCCTGTGCTGCTCTATAAATCACAAAGCCCTGCCTCAATTCTAAAATTAATGTGGCTTCTCTCTCTCTCTTTCATTTTTAAAGGAGCAGTATGACCTATACTTTAGAGAAAAAAGATTTTAGCACCATAAGCAAAATGCAAAGGGGCAGGTAACACACAGGACACACAGGTTAAGCAGCAGGGAAGCACTTGGTAAATTCTCTGCAGAGGTTCCCCTGGATATGAGGTCTTTGAAAACAAAATCTAGTAAGTGGGACTCAGTTCAGATAACTCTGCAGGGAGTGAGCAAGCAAGGTTCCCTATCAGGGGCATTTTCCTAAAAAGACATGATCATAGTGTTGCCTAGAAACCATGATTAGTCTGTATTGCTTCGGAGCTTTGCTTCAGTAAGGAAAATCTTATCTCCGGGTCAATTCCCAAGCGTTTCTCTAACTCTTGGTTTACTAAAGCAACTGAACGCACTCCTCTTATGACTGTGTGGTTGGGTCATGAGATTTGGCTGGGGGCAAGCAGCCTCTTGCCTCATCCTGCCACCCTGTGCTCTCCTTGGAAAGGTCTGTGCCAGTGGTTTGGGATCCTTTGTGCAGAGTTTAGAGACTTAGGTCGACATCCCTAAATGTTTCAAAGTGCAATAGACTCAGTTGCTAGCAGGGAAAATTAAAAAAAAAAAAAAATGAAATAAAATATATAAAATAAACTATTGCCTTTTGCTGTTTGGTCTCATTGATTTATTTTATTTTATAAATACTGTAAAGTAAAAGGATACCGTGTCTAGGATCTGTCTCCTGTCCCAAGAAAAAGCAGCTGGACAGAGATTGAGAGTCTTGCAAATAAATAAAGCAATCCATGCTGGGCAATCACTCATGTCAGGCCCTGAATGGAAACTTTGGAGACTCCTCAGGCTGCAGTGAAACAGGTTAATTACTTAAAGCATTTCAGCGAGCCTGATGGATGAAACCCAAACAAATAGATTAAGTCTTGCCCAATTACATAGCCAAAGAAGCTTTTTTCTCTACGCTATCATTTACCACAGGGGCCTATAAAATGACCTTAATCGCTATCTAAGCAA